TTGCTTTTACATGCCTGTTTCTACTTTTTATCCATTATTTTTAATCAAGTTTTAACTTTTCTGCTCAAGCCTGTTCTGGTGCACTTAATTCCTAGATTACATAATAATTTCTGCCTTTTTTGAACACTAATTAACTAAGATAATCTCTCAACCTGCACCCTCTGGAGTATAACCTTTGGGTGGGAATTAACACACTAAAATGCCAAGTACAGTAAGGTTGTTATAATTAACCTAAACTAAAAACTAAAACTAGATGTGAAAAAGCATTTTACCCATGTAAAATATTTATAAAACTACAGTTTGGGGAAAACTAATTATATATTTCCTCTATTTTAAATTTTTTTTTAAATTAGTTTTCAGTTTTAGTATTGCTAATTTGGTCGAATTTATAATCCCAATTTGCCTTATGAAGCTTTGATGGACATGTTTTCAAGTCAAAGTCAAAATGAAATAAATATGAAAACCAACTACAAAATATAAAACACAAACCAATAATAAATTTCACCATAAGCTGCTACAAATGCAAATTGTATGCTTTAATAGATTGGAGATTATAGTAGTTAATCCCATCATTAAAAACCCCCACAAAACTTTAATTAAGAACATTATTTATTCAACAGTGAAGCTTCAGTAATAAATAAATGCACAGATCATTTATTCCACAATAAAACCAAAGGAAATTTGTTTTGCTTTATATATGAGGATTGATATTGCCATTAAGAGTGAACAGCATTGACCAGAGACAATCAAGACGAGACACTTAACACAGAGAGGCGTACAGACAGACAGATGTGTATGGATTACACAGATGTGTACAAAGTATTGCATTTTTCACTGATTGGCTGTTTTCTTTCTCTCTCTCTTTCTCTCTCTTCACAGTCTAGTCAGTTGAGCATCGCCATGACGTGCAAATCAGTCAAAGATTACAAATACAGTATTGCATCATTTCAAAGTGCTACAGAGATAAGTGTCTCTTTTGAAACAGACCCAATTTTCTTTCTTCTTTTGGTTTCTTCTGGTGAATGTAGTTGGATTTGGATTTTTTTTTGCCTTTGCTTGTCTGGCACAGTGTAGAGCTCAGCCTGGTCAGAAGCAAACATAATATAAAATATTATCTCAAATTGTGATATAATAAAGCTCTAAAATTAAAAAAAGAGGTAAATTTTATGTTTATTATAAAATATATAAATAAATCAAACGAATAAGTAATTTTTTAAAAACCTGGATTCTACTTTTTATGATCTTCAATGGTGAGTGGAAAAAGCACCCATGGTTTAATGTCCTACCTTTAACATTTCTCCCATTGTCATCATTGTGTTGTCCATTCAAGCATGTTTGCGTGTTTTTGTGGATTGGGAAATCTTTTGCACATATAAATCTACTTGTGTGTTTTTGTGTGTGTGCTTGTGTGAGTCTGGCAAATGATGAACGGAGACAGTTTTGCTTTTTCGATGCTGCGGCGTAAGAGTGAACAGAAAACAATGCTCCACTGGCAAATCCATAGGATACCCTTGTGAACAAGGCACAAACATCTCAAAGGACCATTTGGTGATGATGCACATTTTAGCGTGTTATATAAACAAACGACAGCTTCCCAAAATACCTCATATGAGGCGGTGTTTGCTTTATTTCAGTACTCTATAAAAAAAAAA